TTTTTTAATTTTTGTATCTCTCACAGAGGGCCAAGGATTCACAGAGGACAGCTTTGCGACAACTCCGGAAGCTGGATCAAGCAACGAAGGACTCTCGATTCGCAGTATGGTTATAACGGCCTGAACAACGTGGGCACCTCGCATGTGTCTGTGCTGACTGCAGTGTGGAACTAGATTGTTATCAAGGGGTGTGGCCAGGAGGGTGTCAAAGGCTTTATCAGGGGGGCCATGATTTACGTAGGCCTAATAAAGGGAAAGAATACTAAGGAAGCTTTTAACCCTGGTTACCTAACATGCCTTCTTGACTGTTGAGCTAAACTCAAAAGTGGCTGGAGAATTCCTAATTGTTAAACAAGTTATTGTGAGAGGTCAACCAGTATCCAGAAGATTGTTTATGTTTTTACAGATTGTTTATGTTTATGAAACATAAACTACTATTATACAATTTTTTTGTATTTAATCAGCTGAGAATTTTGATCTTATCGCATATGCAGACAAGTTTTATGGTTTAATATACAGGTTAATATATCGTTATTGTTCATGCTCTCAGGCTGCAGTATTCATTTAGATAGTGGCAACATAGGAAAATACGCTGCATGGCTTCGCCACCAGGCAGCGCATGCAAGGTTAACGGCAGAGGAACTGCTCTTGTTCTAAAATGTTAGGTTGTTGTCATGGTTATGGAAGTAAGCAAGAAGACGGACTTTTTAATAGCGGATGGAAAAAAAAGACCTGAGTGTATTTCTGATTATTTGACTGTGTTAACATCCATAAAATAAAGCAGCTTCGAGTGAACAACATCTCAGCGTCCGCCTGTGTTTCCGGCTGCAACATTACCACTCACAACCAAGAGTTAATAAAGTAAGACAGTACTGTAATGGAACATTTGTATTACAGGCTTGAGTGTTCCTCCCTATAGCAATGATTGTTCTCAGTAATTAAATCTCAGTATTATGTTTTCAAGCACTGTGACCTATAGCCTTGTGTTTAGTTAGTAACTTTCAGCTAGATATCTGTCTCCTGTCCAGAAAGTAATAAAGTAATTAATGTGTTTCTGTGGACGCAGCAACAGGCGACTTATGAAAGGACTGGACCTTGGTTCTAACAGTTCAGATTGGGCCTGTTAGCTGAGATAGCATGTGTCAGTTAGATAACTGTGACAGTTAGGTGATAACAAATGTAAGGGAGGAATGCCAACCTGAGCATTTTCTTTGACTGTCTTGTACATCACAGAACTGTTCCTCTTGCTGCAAGATTAAAAACGACAAAACCTTTAAAGACCAATTGCTTGACTCAGGATCTTTATTTTTGTGTATTGGTGAGTGTCTTACAGGAAATTTCGGCTACAGTACACTGTAGTGAACCATAAATTAAGCAAATTAAGCTGATGATGATGATCCTAACATTTCTATCTTTTTCCAACAAAATCAAATATTTAAAATAATCATATGACTAAATAAATAATCATATGAAGATTTTTGTTTGTTTTTGTACAAATAGTTATAAAATGTTTTTACTTGCAAGAACCATCAACAAGATATGTTTACATTATTTAATAACAGACAAAATGTGTATTATCAATCTGTTTCTTGGGGAAGCTTTGGTGAGGAATCCACTGTAGCCACCGGGCACGAAGGACCCCTTTCAGTTATTTAAAATGAGATTTAGGGGATTGGAGATCTTTGAGATCTGAGGTTGCAGCTCCAAATCTGAAGGAATGACCAGAATAATGTACAGGAGAAATGCCGGAAAAGGAGAGTTCGTGTCGGAAGTGTTGGTGGAACCAGAATCGAGTTGCGACATGTCCAGATTTGAAATGATTGTAGGGTCTTTCATCGAGGGTGTCTGCGTGGTGGAGGACCAAGCTTCTGGACTTCTGGAAAGAGAAATGAGAAAGAGAGTTGGCGATGGTGTTGGGAATAACGTATTGGTAAGCTATTGGTATTGCCAAAGCTGGCATTGTATGAATTGCATTAGGGATGAGGCGTTGGAGCAACCTTTGTTGATTATGTGTACAGATGCAAGGTTGCAACTACAGCTATTATCAGATAGATTTCGAAGAGAGCAGAGGAAGTGACTTGGCTTTCACTTGCAAGCTCAGATGGTCATTAAGCTGCAAACCATCTTCTGTTTTAGAAATCCTCAAAAAAACGAAAGAATGATGAGTGCCACAGAGGCGGGTCTACAGAGGTTTTTAAGGTGAAACCTCCTCAGGAATGACTCAACAGTTGTGCCAAAACTTTCTCCCTCTCTCTGTGCGAGGGTGGAGTCTGGCTGCGCGGCGCCCGCCCCACTTTTCATGTGGTCCTGAGCTGCCAGTCAGTCAGTGAAGTTATATCACAAGAGAAAGGTCAGAAGAAACTTTAATGATCCCCGCGGAGGTGTTGGATACAATCAGCCATGGCGAGGTCAAAGGCGAGGGTGTACTGTTGCGCACTGATCCTGCTCTTTGTGATTGCTGTGATTGTGTGTATTGCTGTATTTGTGAGGCGCAGATGTCCAGATGACACTTTCTCCAAAGCTGCAGTGGCCGCAGACTCTGGGAGCTGTTCACGGATTGGACTGTGAGTGGCTTTTTACACTTTTTGTTCCACAGACATTTATATCTGTTGTGCGCAGTTTCCACTTTTACGCATGACACATTTTCTAATTTACCACTTTACATCTTTGAGATCTGCTCTCTCTAAAAGTTATTACCTGCTTATATAAAACTAACTATAACTTAAATTCTATTAAATGTGCTTGATGGAACCAAATTCTAATAGAATTCCTCCTATTCCAGCCGATAAACAAGGAAACTGACACCAGCGTATATGCAAAGCACCAACACGCCTTTTCCCGTACTTTGTGGTTTGCTCTAACATAACGGAAACATAAAGTAGCTGCACTGATGGTTGTGGTTCCAAGTTCCAAGTTTTTTGAAATGGATGATGATTTGTTATAAAGTTCAAATTAACGGAATAAATAATTCGACCAAATTTAAACTTAATTTATCCAAATGACCTCACAAACTTTGAGGTTAATGAAACTCCGAGTTGAGCCCCAACTGATTGTGTTTTATAATGTAGACCAAGGAAACAGCAACAACGATAAACAGCCCTTGCTTGGGAAGAGTGAACCAGTATCGTGTTACCCTGTCATCTGTTAAGAACGTGCTGGAGCAGGAATGGCAGCAGATCCCGCTTTAAAGGCTCCCCTAGGGTACGTCTCTCGTGGCAGTGAGATTTTCAAACTTTACTTTGTTTTTTAACAAAGAGGAGATGTCTCTCAGTGGCTCCCACAGCCAGCAGGCAGGACACAGCTGGTTATTTCTGCTGTGGGGATGAATGTTACCAACTTCCATCACTGTGAATATGGACCCCCCCTCCCGATGCCTCATATCGGTGTTTCATCCACAGGAGGGCACAGCAGCGCGGGATGCGCCATCTACGCCGAGCCCCCCCTTATTTAGATGAGTCAGCTGCAAATCTTCACACC